CCTCTCCTACTCCCATCTTCACCCAACTAAGGTAGTTCTCATTGTTGGGGTTCATGCTAGCGGGTCAATGGACATCGTGGAATGTAAAAGGATGTGTGTCTCCCGTTAAACTTTGGGTAAGGAAAGTATACAGTATGAGCACGCGCGCGCGGGGGCAGGCGCAGGCCTTTTTCCTCTCCGAACCACGAATAACACCAGACAGCCAAGCATGTGTCTGCGTGTGTGATTATATCTATATGCATATATATATACACATATATATATATACACACATATATACATATATACATCGACGGCGGCAGGGAGCGCATGGCAACGACTCCCCCCGCGGCGGCCCGGCCGCAGCGTCGGCCAGGGCCGACGCTCTACCATCGGGACTCTTTGTTCCCGACGGCGTCGAATTACAGCGCGCGCCGGCGCGAGGCTCTCACAGCCGCCAGCAGCCCGCTGGTCAAGTGGCATTGATCACACGGCCATTGGCCGGTGATAGCAGGTATTGATGGAGGGGCGAAGCTCCCACAGCCTCGAGCCCTTCCACGTGCGCTCCTTGTCGCAATCTGTGGCGATAAGCTAGGCGTGCATTCGCCGGCACAGCCTCCAGAACGCCATTGGCGTTAGGCGTCTGTTGCTTACCGGCGCCATCCACTGTCGCGGCGCCACGGGCCCCGGTCATCGTTGCGCCGATCGGACCAGTTGCTGTAGTCGCCCTTCCCGCAGTCTTTTCCCGGACCTTTGCTCCAGCCCAGGCTGGGGGCACCCCTCCACGCACTCCAGGCGCTGTCAGTAGGGGTTCGGCTTTGCCCCCTGGCCCAGGGGCGGCGCTGTTCCTCGGGAAGCTGCTGGGAGGACGACGACGCCGCGCCGCCAGACTCAGTTTGGCGGAAGTCCCTGTACAGGCACGGGCGGACAGCGGGCGGTGAGGCCGTGCGATCACTCCATGGTTCTCTCGGTCGTTTCCCGCCCTTGCCCTTGCCTGTAGCATCCGGGGGTGGGGCGGCGTCGCTAGACGCGCTGCCCCTGCCACCCTCGTTCTGCGGAAATGCAGCCGCTTGTTTCGCCGTCACTCTTGCGGGCGGTGACGCCGAAGGGCTATGCGGCCGCTTTCCGCTGATTGACCGCGCAGCCCGCGCGGTGGTCGCCGCGGGCTGGCGAGTCCGAGCCCTTCGTGCCACTGGCACACGTGAGGGGCGACGCTCGCCATCCGAGTCATGGGGCGGTGGCACTCCGCGCTGTGCCCACGCCTGTAGTGCGTAGACAACAGCTTCATATATGCGCAGCGCCCACTTCTGTCGCCGAATACCTGAGCGCGTCGACTGTGAACTGTTGACCTCGGAATTGTGCGTCTGACTGAGACTGCAGCAGGTTTTGCATGCAAGCCTCGATGTCAGGTGCGTCATCTGCAATGTTCGACAAGTCCTGCCGATTCCCTTTTGAACTAGCTCGGCGAGCGCGTGATGCGACTTAACAATGTCGAGCTCCCGAGAGAGTGTCTCACGGAACCGGTCCACCTCTTCGCGATGAACGCGTTTGGCATCATTACTTGCGTGATGCATGTCAACCAGCGTCCATTGGAAATCCTTCGAGACTTCGATGGTAGCTCTGTATGTTTGTTCAGCCAGCCATGCCTCACTTGCATCACCTAGGTCTGGGTCATAGACACAGAGCCGTGGCGGATCACTCCACAATGCGTCTGGCTGTGCTTCACATGACGCCCAAGTGCCTGCCTTGTGGTGAGTGGGAGAGATGTTAAACGCGTCGAAGAACGCCACCAGCTCATGGGCTGCCTGCCTGATCCGGTACTGGTTGACCTTGCTCGTCACGTCGTCCTGGTATGTGCTCTGGCCCCTGCCGGGTGTGCGTGATCCCGTTCGCCTGCGCATTGCGCGGCCCCTGAACGCCATCGGCGCATCTGCGGACCGAATCCTTCGCTGGCTGTTGGAGCGGGCACGCCTACCCTGGGCGCGCGATCTTGGCCTAACGGAGGGAGCCCGGGGCGCGCGCGCGTCTCGACGGCGAACAGCCCTGTTCCCTCCATCTTCTGGGGCGGCCAACTCTTCTCTTGGTTTTCAGAACTCCTCGAATTCATCTTCAATCACAATCAAGAGATTGTCGAGACGCTCCGGTAGACAATCTTCGTTCTCGCGACACAATTGGCGCCATCCTACGGAAGGCTCTGTGAGACCAGTCCCATCAGGGTCCATTCTGTCCCAGTCAAAGATGTTCAGTATTCCAATGTCTGTACCATAGCCTGTCTTGTCTATGCGCCGGGTCAGATATGCCCACCACTTCCATGGCGGGCAGATTGTATACTGTCCAGTTGGCGGGCAGCGATTGTATACCTGAAACGACATCCATCGATGCGACAGCTTTCGTGCCTTGATCTCTCGCGCCTTGTTGCCATGGGCAGGGCGTTTGTCGTTTGGCGATGCTGGAATCCATGCGAACACCGATCTTTCGGCGGACAGAGTTGCTGTCTTGCCCGCCATAGCGGCATAGTATCGCGTGATGGCCCCGTCGTAGGTATCCTTTCTCCATCCCTCGCGGTAACGCGCCTGTGTGCGATCAGGATTCTTAACAACTGCTGCCCTGGACATTGTCCGGCCGTCATTGCGTGCATGGTGCGGGCCTGGATTCCATCGGTCTCTGAGGAACCCTGCGGCTC